CAGCAGCAGCAGCAGCAGCAATGGCCTTTGCAGTAGCCTTTACAAGTCTTCGAATGGGAGCACTACTAATAATCGGAAAATGGTTTGGGCATGTTTGGGCACACTTCTCACATGATCCGCTCATAGCTCTGGGTTCGGTATTCTTGCATCTAAGGCTTCAGGGTTCGGAAGACTTAGGGTTCAGGGCTTAGGGGTTAGGTCCATGGTCCATGTGCCTGCAAAGCATGGACTTGGGTCTTAAATGGCGTTCCTACACACAACAGAACAGACTACATAGGTACATGGGCCCTGAGGCTAAAGGGTGCAGCACAAGGGTTATTTGACCCTGGAGGAGGCATCCCTGAAGTGCTCCTTGAAAGGGAAACCACAACCTACAAGTAATGTATCCCTACATTGCCCATGTTATAGTGTGTTGCGATTGGTGTTTTAACCGCAACTGGGGGCCGATAATCTCTATGAAGGGCCAGTCAACGTGCGGCAGGGCCCCTAGCTTCCGTACCATTTCGCTCTTCAATGACTTGCACCTTGCAGACTAGACACGACTAGACCCTCGACGTCCCACCCTACAAGGTCTTCGGCATACAAACCAGGAAACACCAACTCCTTCTCGGATTAATGTAGCGCCCTTATTAAATAGAATACGGTTTTGGTGTACATTTATAGTAAAATATCGGTAATCCCTAAACCCTAAACACTATCATTTACATAACATTATCAATATTGGCAATCATTTAGGCTTCTATAGGAGGGTGATTCAAGCTCCATGAACTCCAGGGCTTGGGGCCGCGGGTATAAAGTTAAACTCCCAGGGCTTAGGGTTTCCCAAAATCCCGGATGTTACAAGAAAGCACGGTTTAGGGTTTAGGGTTTAGGGTTTCGTGAGACATTTGTAGACTTCGTGGTCATGTCTTCTCCTGAGGTATGCGCGATCACCGCACAAGGTCTGAAACTACACTCCCTGGCCTCGCGAGACCGAGAGGAACCCCATTTGCGCCCAATTTACATACTGCACGTCCGACCCCGTGCGCAGAGTAGGCTTCCATAGGGTCACTTTCTGGTTGTGTGCTTTTTGGGGGAGGGGAGCCTAGCCCGCCACGCGCCAATTCTTACACGCCCAAACCCCCGGCCTCTTCCCATGGTAACAGCCCCAAGCCTATAAAACCCTTATCCAGCCAACGCCGCAAATACCCCCACAAAACTAAACCCTCAACCCGAAACTCTAAGGCATACATCTCTCACAGAAGGATCCCCTAAACCCTAAACCCGAAATCTCTCACAAAAGGATCCCCGGGCCTGGCGAACCTCCAGAAGCTCAGAGACTTCGGCACCCTGGCCGAGCTCTCTGAGGGTACCATAGGGATCTAATATGGGATGTATCCCTAAACCTATAAACCCCAAGATAATCATAAGGGATGTACCCCTAAACCCTAAACCCTAAGATAATCATAATGGATGTATCCCTAAACCCTAAACCTTACAAGATAATCATAAGGGATGTATCCCTAAGCCCTAAACCCTAAGATAATCATAAGGGATCCCTCAGGGTAATCACATGGGACGTAGCCCTAAACCCTAAGCCGTAAGATAATCACGAGGGCTGTACCCCTAAACCCTACCCCCTAAGATAACCACAAGGGGTGTACCCCTAGAACCTAAACCCTAAAATAATCACAAGGGATGTATCCCTAAACCCTAAACCCAAGGGCTGTGTCCCTAAAACCTAAACCCTCAGATAATCCCAAGGGATGTATCCCTAAACCCTAAACCCGAAGATAACCACAATGGATGTATCCCTAAACCCTAATCCTAAACCCTAAGATAATCACAAGGGATGTTCCCCCAAACCCTACACCCTAAGATAATTTATCGGGCGTACTACTGGGGGGGACCTCGAAAACACGTCGCGCCGGGAGCCTCCCCCTGAAGCCATTCCAAAAGCTCGCTGCCGGCAGTGTCCGGGCGAACAGCCTGGGTTTAGGGTTTAGGGTTTATCGCGTAAAGGTTCCTATAGGTACTGTTATGGACCCTTTTAAGGGGTTCCTTAATTAGGTTCGTTTACGGGTTGTAGAAGGTTTCTTTAGATGCCTTTGAGTGTTCCTTTAAGGGTTCGTTAAGTACTGGTATGGGGGAATACTTGCCCAAAACATAACAGCAATCCCTATTATAGAAACCCACACAGTCTACTATGTGGTACCCTAAACCCCAAACCCTAAACTCTATTATAGAAACCCCCCCACAGTCTACTATGTAGGTACTTAGGACCGTTAGGTCCTAAACCCTAAACCCGTAAACCCCTACTATGTAAGTGCCTAGGACCTTTAGGTTATTTGGGAGACTCAGGGAAGAAGGCTCAGGTACCTATGATGATATGCAAGATCTACTTACGTCGACCAGAGGGCCCTAAAGGACAAGCATATTAGGGTTTAGGGATTTAGGGATTTAGGGTTTAGGGCTTTGGTTTTAGGGGTTAGGGCTTTGGGTTTAGGGGTTTAGGGGTTTAGGGGTTTCGGGGTTTCGGGGTTTAGGGTTTAGGGAATTAGGGTTAGGGCTTTGGGTTTAGGGGTTTAGGGGTTTAGGGGTTTAGGGTTTAGGGCTTTGGGTTTAGGGGTTTAGGGGTTTAGGGCTTAGGCTTTAGGGTACAAGCGCATATAGAAACCCCATGTTAATGCCAAGGTATATACTATATGGGCACATGGACTCTTAAGGAAAGGGAGCTTAGGAAGCTAATCGACCGTCAGTTCGTGTTTAAACCTTGAACATGGTTTAGGGCTTAGGGGTTTAAGGGTTTGGGGTGGTTTAGGGTAGCACTGAAAGTTGGAAACCATGACGAAGACCCTTCTGGATCAGCCAAAGAGTGGCGATGAAACCCCTTGTTGATCCAAAAATGCGCAGCGCAGCAGCCCGTTACCAACTGGCACCAGACTACCGGTATGAATGTCGACCCCTAAATCGATATCTACAAACCCTCTTCCCTACATCCATCAGCTCAACAATCCATGCTTTAACCCATACATAGAGTCATAGAGACGTACGTACATACATGCAAAATTATTTGCATACACATGCATACACATGCATCTGCAATAAACAAACGAACAGGCAGGCATGCACATCTCTCTCTCTCTCTATACATATATATATATATACATATGTGTGTGTGTACGGAGAAACAAAACATACATACATACATACATATATATATACATACAAAATATAAAGCAAAGTTGAGACATCATACACCGTAACAAATGGAGAGAGAGAGAGAGAGAGAAAGAAAGAGAGAGAGAGAGAGAGGGAGGTAAGTGCGTTCTTATCAAAAGCCAAATCCAAGAGGGTCGCAAATGGCTCGAGCCTGCAGTCTCGCTCTCGGCCACCGCGAGGGAAGAGAGCCACCTCAGGGCTTCGAAGGTCTTCGTTAAGGCTTCACTTCATGGTTCTGCAGTGTTTCGTCAGGTTTCAATAGGCATTGTTTACAGTGTTGTGGAGATGCGATTTGGGTTGCAATTTACGCATCATATGTCATATATGATGACTGAGCATTTAGCGGTTAGTGGTTTAGGGTGCAAGCGCTAAGTGGTCTCAACAGTAGGGTTAAGGTACTAAGGGTATCGGCTTTTGGGGAGCGCCCGGAAAAAGGTGACCCTGATTCAATTAACTGCGCTGGAAACGCCCTTTCTTTCTGCATGACGATTCGGGCAGTCCTGCAGACTTTGGGAGCAACATGCTCAACCGGAGCATTTGACCTGGATTTGCTGCTTCAGACTCACCTGTGCTTGCATGGAGAAGCCACGTCCGAAAAGGTCCCGACGGATGCATACGAACCCGAGTCCTTGATCGAGTTCGATACAGCTTGCCTGTTCAAGGGGCACGGACAAGAAAGTCTTGTTGTTCACTTGACGCTCCCCGCTCTCGTCCACATCAATGTGCATCCACTCCGACGTGAGCTGCCCGTCACTGTACTCCGACGTGATTATCCCGTCACTGTACTTCCAGGCAATCTTCGGCCGCTCCCGCGACAGTGTCTCTAGCATCGATGTGCCGGCACCAAGGTCCCTTTGGATGCCCCGGAAGCCATTCCCAAGCGCAACCTGACTTGTCCAGTTTCGGATTCTATGGACTATATCTAGTTAGTACCCCCCAGGGTTGTAAGCGTTACTTACTCAGCTGACAGGTCCGCATTGCAGTAGCTCACAACGAGTTGAGATTTACTTACTCTACGACAAATTATAGCGAACCTCATAGCACACTGTAGCTTAGCGTGGTATAATACTTTTGTACCTGCTCCTTACAAAAGCCGTTATGAAATATATTGAAAAAGTTGATGCTCATAACGATTTTTGGACTAAGCAATTCGAACCTAAATCCTAAACCTTATAACCCTAAACCCTAAAACTGGTTCCCTGTTGGGACCATATTAAAAATGATCATTTGTAATCCTTATTAGGGTTTTACTAGAACAAAAATGTAAAGTTGTATCCAACAAGGACCCAGAAAAGAAGCCCTAAGCCCAGGTAGGCAACTTCACCGGCTCTGTCGCAGGTTTTGAGGTCACTGGCGAACTTCGAAAAGGTGCCGGTGCTGTGGGGAATCCCCCCGCTGCCCGCAGCGAATCCTGCTTTGGGCTCATAAGGTTTAGGGCTTAGGGGTTTAGGGTTTAGGGGTTTAGGGTTTAGGGCTTAGGGTATAAGGTGTAGGGATCGAATTTATAAGGGTTGGGTTTTACGGGCTTAGGGCTTGCAGTAATAGTATCCATAGATAGCTGTGGTGCTTCGGGCTCATAAGGTCTAGGCTGAGAGTTTATAGGGTTTGGGTTGTAGGGGAGGGAGTAGGGTAAAGTGTAACAATATTCTCTTACAGTCTTATAGTCCCCATTGTGGCGCTTGTGGCTTAGGGTAGAGGGTTAAGGGGAACAGTATCCTCCCGTAGAGTCCCTATTAAGCTTCTTATTGTGGAATAGGATTTGGGGGGATGGGGGCAATGGCGGTATCACCCGCGTCCCGATTATGGGCGACTCCTGCTGCATTCTGGATCAGTGTCGTCATGATTTTGGTGTTCAGGTACTCAATGTTCTGGTTATAAGCCATGGTGGGGTCCACAGGTCCCACAGCACCCTGTGGTGATGACACCGGGCACCACTTCGCCTTCTCTGCTTCGTCTGAGACTTTGTCCCCACCGTCGTTGTGCATCATGAGAAAGCCTATAGTAGGCGTGCAGGCGTATCCGCTGGTCCAGCAACACTTCGACCCCCACCACCAGAAGGGACGGTCTGGCCGGACTTGCTTGAACCTCTTGCAATGGTAGTCCTGCATCGGAACGATGTGAGTTTCTGTGGAGCTGGGCGGCTTGTATTCCTCAATCGAAGACTTGCAGCAACACACGTCATCGCGAGCTTGGTCTGCGACTGTCGACTCCGAAGCCGAGGGTCGGAAGCCTTCAACTGGCAATCCGACCAGCACCGTGGCGCAGCAAACAAGACGGGTAAACGGCATGTGTGGAATTGCTGGATTTTCAGATGAACTACAACATACTACAACTCTCTGACCTGGTGAAAGCTCGACGCAGGCGGCTTCTGGCACATTCTGTTTGACAGCAGCTCTGTCTTCACATCTCATGCCATGGGATCATCAGCTTGTTCCGTTGGTCTTCAACATGAACCCGCCGAGGTCCATATCCCTATCAAACCTATACAATAAGCACTTCGACACAAACGCTGCTATGAGGAAAGTAGGAACGATGGAGATAACAACAAGAGTACAAACACTGATAACACTCACACCAGTATGTGTATGTACGTACACACATATATATATACACATACATACATACATTTATTTATTTTTAACTATACATGGAATAAAATACGAACAAATAAGTGATACTAACAGCTACTAACAAAACATATACATGAATAGCTTTACAAATACATAAACTTAAACAAATCCTGATGATAATACCGATGGTAATGATAGTCTGAATGTGTGCATGCACATAAACAAAAAGTGTGTGTGCGGGTGTGTGCGTATATATATATATACATACATATTGGGTCATGTATAGATACATGGGTGCATAGGTAGATGGGTAGATAGATAGATAGATAGATAGATAGGTAGGTAGATAGGTAGATAGGTAGATAGGTAGATAGGTAGATAGATAGATAGATAGATAGACATCCGCATGCATGGACTAATAACCAAATAAGCTAAATAAGCACCGACTTCACAAGCTACAGACGGCAGTGTAGTTTTAATCTAAGACACATCAGATTACCTCAGTTGCCACATACTTTGGAGCCTGTAGGGCTTGGAGCTGGCAGTAATTATCTTCTCACAAGCATCCATGCTCTGTCAGAACCAACCGTGATAGGCCTATTAGAATATGGAAAGGTGCTTGTATGCAACATTCTGGAATGCCGGGGCTGCTGGTCAGACATGAGGCCAGAGCCCACGAAGCCTTGGCTCGACCCGCCAACCCCCTGGTCGCGAACGTAAGCTCGGGTTTGGGAATGAGTTTGTTTTGGAAGGGTGGCAAACTATGCATACATCAAGGAACCCGCAAGTCCAGAACTTAGACTTGCGGGCTTCGGGCTTCGAATTTAGGGTTTCGGGTGCTCAGGGCCTCTGTTCTTTGTCACCTGCCAACCCTTAATCCAATTCTGTCCCTATATATTCAACAAGTACCCTCAGTTCAAGCTGAAGGGTCGGATCCGGGGTTTAGTAGGAGCAGGGCTTTGGCGCTGGTAGGGGTTATGAGGCATGTAAATGCCGTAGTTTAAACCCTTCCCTTTGGCGCTAAACTCTGAGGCGGAAAGCAACCCAACTCATATGTTCTAGTACACACTCGCTCTTGCAATCGTAAGGTTTCGGATGCTGTGAAAATCCCTTATTCTCTGCAACAGAGACAGAAAGCGAGAGCGTGCTTCGATACAGCTTAAACAGGGATCGGTTCCCAACTGTCGACCCTGAGGCGATCCATGTTCTCTCCCTCCTAGCGCCAAGTTGTATTCCCTAAGGCTCCATGTGCCCATATAGTATATACTTAGACCCTAAAGTACCTATACAGGAGCCCCTTTAAGGCCTAAGTATATACTGTATGGATACATGGAGCCTTTGGGACTGTGGTCTTGGCTCTTCGGGTGCATCGGGCCAAATGCTCCCCGAAAATACTAGTTAATATTCGGTGGAGTCTTGGTAATCAATGGAAGCGGTAACACCCCAAAACCCTAGTCTACTTATCAAAGCCCCTAGATGATACCAAATCCTGTAAGGACCCTTTGAAGATATCCCACCCCCCTCTTCAACCCTTTTCTAATCATGGTCGGAGGCCATAAAAGGTGGGATGAAGGTAGGTAGGATTAAGGACTCTTCTTTGGGAATATCCCACCTACCGTCATCCGAGGCATAATCATTCAGGGCCCTACGGCCTGAAACACGACCCAAGCACATGCCGCTGGAGCCGCAAGACCGGCCTTGGCCCACTTTCAGAGTTGTAACGTTTAGGGTTTAGGGTTTCGCTTGTTTGCAGGCCGTTTTTCTTTCCAGCAGTAGGTCGGAAGGGTTTAGGGTTGCGGGTTTGAAGTCGAGGAGGTTGTAACGGGCTATTCAGAGTTTAGGGTTTTGGGTCGGTTTCAAGCTGCGTTTGGGCTTCCTGCTTTGCGGCGACGGCCTAAACCCTAAACCCTAAACCTGCACATTACGTGGGCATCGTCGTCCGACTTAGGGCTTTAGGGTCCAGGGTTTAGGGTGTAGGGTTTAGGGCTTCGGGGTTCAAGGTTTTAGGATTTGGGGAATAGTGAAGAGCCCTGCCCGGATAAAGAAAGAGGCTCTGCTAGTCTGGGGCCTGCAAAGCTTCTTTGACGGGGTTTAGGGGTTTAGGGTTTAGGGGTTTAGGGGTTTAGGGATTTGGGGGTTTAGGGGTTTAGGGGTTAGGGTTTAGGGTTCAGTTCTCTTGCAGGCTAAGTAGTAGATGTCAATAGTCGTGATCAGGGCCCAGTAAGAGGCCTAGGCATTCAGGCGTGTTGGGGTCTGTGGGATGGCCTGCTCGGAAGCCCCAAGTATGCAAATGGTACCTACTTTCGGGCCTAAAATCTATAAATAGGACCTACTTTGGGCTATTTGGAGCCCTAGGGCCCTAGGGACTATACAGAACTCCCACCAAAGGTCCAAGGACCCAAATAGTACAAAACTTGGCCCTCAAGTACCTAGATAGGGATTACTTTAGGCCAAAGTATACAATATAATATACTGGGGGACATGGACCTTGGTAACTTTTAGCATGGGACTTTGGGGCATTTTTTGTGCACAAAAAATCAATAGAATCAGGATTACTGTCACACCTCGGAAAAGGAAGAAGAAAACCCTCACACAACCTCTACTACAACCCCCCAAACCCCAAACCCTCCAAAAACCGAACCACGAGACCCGAAAGCCTTAAACCCTGAAGCCCAAATACCAAACCTCTACACAAACCTAAATCAAGTCCAATAACTGAACACCCTAAACCCCAAAACCCCCTGTACAAAAATACACCTATTTGAGGATCGGACGACTCGCCGACGTCTTCGCGGCCAGCAGAAAGAAGCCATCGGGTAAGTGAAACAAACCGCGATGGCCAAAAGGTTGAGGTCCAGGTTACAGGGGTTTAGGGGTTTAGGGCTTTACGGTGTAGGGGTTTTGGGGTGTAGGGTTTAGGGCCGTTTAGGGTTTAGGGGTTTCGGTTTCGGAGGTGGTTCAGGGTTTAGGGCTTTCAGGGTCCAGGGATTCTGGGGCCACTTACGTAGGGATTAGGCTTTCGGGGTTTAGGGGTTTAGGGTTTAGGGTGTAGAGCTTTTCTGGGTGCTGTCTTGCAGAACGGTGCTATGCATGCAATCTCTGACAGATGATCTTGTACGCGCTTCAGGATGCTACGAGCTCAACACTTCAATCAATAAAGTACCCATAGGCCCCTAAGTAGTTCCTTTTTATGGTTTATATTTAGAATCCTATAAGGTAATCCCAAAAAAAGGAACTACTTAGGGGCCTATGGGTAGGACCTAAAATCGATGCATGGATCAAGGTATGTAGCCGACGTGGCATCTTTGCTCGTGAGGACTTGCAGTCTCGGGTGCTCTACTGTTGATGATATAAATCCTGCATTACCTTAAGGACCCTAAACTATGGTTGGGCCCTACCCTAAACCCCAAACACTAGAGACACTTTGCTCCCCCGGGTCTAGGCTTTACCTAAACCCCAAAGAACCTACCAGTTTAGGGCTCCTTCTTAGGGTTTCCTTATATAAGTCCATAAAAGAAAGTATCCTATTTAGGGTCCCGGTAGGGTTTTAGAGTTTTAGAGTTTCGGGTTTAGGCTTTAGGGTTTCAGTGAATTTCTGTGTGTGTTTTTTTTGTTTTTTTAAAGCTCCCCTGCCAGAAAGTTTAGGGCTTTAGGCTTTAGGGTGTCCGGCCCGTTTAGGGTTCAGGGTCAACTCCCGACCTGACTGCGGCTTGACATCAAAGCTTTAGGGTTTAGGGTTTAGGGGTTTAGGGTCTAGGGTTTGGTGGTTTACGGTTATGGGATGGGGCTGATTTGCAACGGTTTCCTAAAGCCACTCCAGTGCATGTGGGTAGTTCTCTAAATTAAGGTTCCTTTTTAGGTCCCCATTAGAGTATGGCACCCTTTTGAAAGGGACCCTAGTTAAGAGAACTACCCATGTGCCTAGGTTTTATGGTGTTTACTGTGGCTGCAAAGATCTTCCGGCATGGCATGGTTAATGTGCAAGTCTATACTGCGGAGGCGCATGGACCTGCTGGCAATGACAACGCCGCGGAGACCTCAACCCCTAAACCCTAAACCCTAGACCTCAAATCATAAACCCTAAAGCCTACACCCCAAA